TGGAATTTTTGAAGTTTATAAACCAAATAAATGAAAGAATTAAATTCACGATAGAAGTAGCGAAAGGTGAACGGTTACCGTTCCCTGATGTTGAAGTAATGGGACGCTAAAAAAGAAATTGTTTAGAAATAAGTCCTATACTGGGATAATACTCAATTTCTGGTCCCATCACAATTACAGGCTACAGATAGGAATAACTAGGAGCATGATTATTCGAAGCCTAGGCTTAACAGATGTAGAATTCTGGGAGGAGTTGGACAAATTGACTAGGATATTCCTCGGTAATGGCTACCCAAATGAAGTAATACAAAGAAGCATACTGTCCACAAAATAGCCGATGGCAGAACGTTGACTTTGAAAGAGCAGTAAGGCCGATGAAGGATTTACAAATGTATATGCCTATCTTCCTCCGAACCAACAAAAAAACTACTGCCAATATTGAGGAAATGGAATAGTTGGGTGGTCATGACAGAAAAATCAACACTCTTCACAAGTTTACCTACGCAATCTGAAAGGGTAGACAAATTGCATTGTTCAGGAGTTTATTGTATATCATGCGGCGCGTGCCAACATAAATATATTGGCGAAACAAAGAGAAAAATGATATAACAAATCAAGGAACATCAAAGGCTCTCCAGGAAAATGGATAACGAAAGATTAGAATTAGCGGAATACATCGCACAGACTGGACACGAGATCAATTGGAAGGCAACAGAAAGCAGGGCCTCATACGGAGAGAACACAAGCGTAAGATTAGGGAGGCCATTGACACATTTGGAGATAAAAATCTAATCACCAGGAGATTGGATAAAGGTAGAGTTAGGGATAACTTTGTCTACTGCTTAAGCAAACTCGGGGAAGGCAAGAAAGGAACAAGTAGAAAGAAGACGTCCGAGTCGGATTAGCCGATCGAAGGAGAGTGGGTCGGGGTGAATAGGTGTGATGAGGTCACACTAGATTTGCCACTAAAGGGCACACATTTTAACGAGTGGAATGCAAACAAGTGAGAAGTTGTGATAGGGCGGGAATTTGATAAGAGGGTAGAGTAGATAGATAGGCCAGGACAGAAAGAGGAGTGATAGTAACCTTTTTCGGCTGAGCGTTGGTGGAAGGATTGACTTCACTTCTCTCTTGAACCAGTTCGTAGCTTAGTGAGAATGGCAGCACTCACTGATGACGCCGGCGAAATGTTTGAGAATATACCAAGTACACTGTCTCATGCTACTGTTACGACTACTATGGTGCGTTCTACTAAGTCGCCCGGGCAACAAGACCAAGTTGCAAAGAGGTCAACCCAATTGTATAAAGCTCGGGCCTTATAGCATTAAGAACATGAAGGTTGGAGCACGCACAGCATCAATTTTTTCTGAAATGCCCCATACCAGATGGTGGTTTCGACTTTCAAGATAAAGATACCTCAATTTGAACTATATCTTCCTAGTCGACTATTGGCTAAACAAATGGCCCTTCATTATCTCCTAGTTGTTACTATAATTCCCACTAGTTGTCGTGTTTGTTTTGCCGCAGTACCTTCAGGTAATGGCGACATTCTTTAATTTTACTTTCCCCTGCTAATTGCTATTTTATTAACATTAGACTATTTCCTCCAAGTACTTTCTAACATGGGATATAGACTCACTTAGCATCAGAGATCCGATTTCCACGAAAGCACAATCACCATGTATATTCTCATCACAGGAAGCCGGTGACCATTAAAGCAATACAGGCAATTTAAGCGGCCCCTTCAGTCGACAACTCGATGCATTCCAGACGGCACATACCAACAGTTTAATCGACTAGTCTTCCTCAGCGCTCTAGCCACCGACTGAAATAAACAAAATCTCTTTCCCTTGTACTCATAGAGACACTTTACATGTACATTTCGCACAATATGTCCTCTTTTAATTAGGCAAGCACATCGCCCACTTATATTTCAATCTCTCTGATTTTTTTGGCTGGTTATGAGATATTAAATCTGGTCGGCTATAAACCAGGCTTCCAGGCTAATGAATTGTACAAGAATTGCAGTGGTTACAATATTACGAGATTTTGGCAGAATCGAAATGCAACATATTGATTATGAAAAATAGCAAAAACACAAAAGTGAGTTAGCAATCAACAAGTCACATCCAGTAGACAAGCATAGAAAAGACCGAAAAATAACCTGTCCATAGGTAAAGCTGCAGAAAAAAAGATGCACGGGCCCCGTAAAGAATAAGAAAATTTAAGTGCAACCAAATAGAGCAGACAAAACAATATATACAAACTCAGACAATAAATCCCATTTTAGAATAAAATCAAAGATATTACAGAATAGCTTTCAATTGAAGCAACTAAGTATTTTCACACTCACGCAAAATCATTTACGTATCGATGGACATACATGTAGGATCTCCTAGCTATAATTGCTGACAGTGTAGATAACCGTTCACTGAAGTAGGACTGGCAAAAGATAAACGAGCAACGGTTGCGAAAAATAATAACAAGATAAAAACTAGATAACAACACACAGAAATATCAGCTTGGATAGACATGAAAATGAACTGAAGAGCAGAGGTAATAATGTTGTGACCATTTTGCGATATGGCTGATCTTTATGTAAATACATAGTAAGTCTTTTATGTGAACAAAGCAGGCATTCCTGGTATATGTGAATGGACAGCATAAACAAAATCAGGAGACAAATGCTACTTCTTTGTTGAATGATTATAAAGTACAAAATCGCAAATTCTTTGTAAAGAACCAAGTACTCATGTTCAAGTATATTTGAAATTTAGCGACTACGTGGCCGAATTTCGGAGGAAGTGGTGCAGCCGGCGATGGAGTAATTCAGATAAAGTGGCCTCTACTCTTTGGACTACGGGAGATCCAAGTGGGATATGAGAAATGTAAAATTAAGCTAAGATTTGCTATGAAATAGGCGAATAGTAGTCAGCCTATCTAGAGGGACATTGGTGAGATAACAATAAGCTGAAGATGGAAGATAATGAAAGAAAAATTGAAAAAAATAAAAAGATGCACGAGCCATTGGAGTAACAATAAAAGAAGAAAAACGGAAAAAGTCGAGTATAAAAATTGGACATCAAAATGGGAAGAATATAGAGTGGACAATACAAGGTATGTGGCTAGCTAAACGTGGTAGGATATTCCCAATTTAAAATTTGATCTCCGGCATATAACGGACCAGTTTCTAAGGGGCCGTGACTGATGTTATTGGGCTGATCTGACGCAAACAATGGTGCCGAAGGAAGGGAGATAGTGGGTGCACCAGCTAGATGGCCTGGGCTAAGACAAGTAGGAGTCTGAAGATAGGCAGAGAGATGCATGGGCACACAGGGGGCCGAGGCTAAGGTTGGAGGCGGTGAAGGAAGTTGAAGAGAATGAATAGGAGGGCAGAAGGTGAATGGAAATGGAGAGGCGGGTGGCAGCAAAGGCGTTGGCGAGCGAAGGTTCTGTGCAATGGGGGGACAGGATGCCCCGGGGAGACAGCCGACCGACAAGCCTGTTGCAGGGTTAGCTGAGTAGACCGGCACAGGATGGGGAAGACATGGGCTGAATAGATCAATGAGTAAATTAATGAGTAATCAACTAGAGTAAATTGAGGAACAAAATCAGCATGTCAAAAGTACATGATGAAATTTTATCTAATTCAGAACAACAAAGTACATGCTAGAGTACCATGTTTACGGTAAAAAAGCAAAAGGACGACGATTTTGCAGAAAAATCTTAATCTGAATTCCTCATATGCAAACAAGGAACAATTATCCCAAAAGTGAACTTTAAGTTAAGCCAAATAACAAGTTATTAAAATATATGGTCATTATGCATAGACTAAAAACGAAAAAATACTCCTTACAGCAAGCATATTGTTAAACAATTCGCATCTGCCCTGTGGCCTAAGGACACTCGTGGTAATGTGGCGTAGTGGTTAACGTGTCGAGATTACATGTAGCAGTGTGATGGTTCGAGTCCCGCTGGGAGTGTTGATAAGATCTAGGTGAAGTCGGAATTGCAGTCCACTCTAAATTAGACAAACTTTTTAGGAAGCAAGGCTATGTAAATTCAGTAGGAAAATTGAATTACCAGTCCTCCATCACCTTAAACGAAATAGGGTGAATATATCTCATATAACTGATTGACTGGTAGTCTCTTAACTCAATTTATAAAAAAAAATCGTTTAAAATC